ATTGCGGCCCGGCGACTGATTATTTCGTCTACCTAAGATCAAATCACAACGTTGGTAGGTTAGACTAGAAATCAAAGCAGTTACTTCGGTAACCACATGTTGGAGGCGAGCCAGGAACGACAAAGCTGATACCGAATGTAACCAGATTCCCATCCGAATCAGCCAAGGGTTAAAACGTCACATTTGGTGCCCTGACAACAGGATCATGTCACATTTGGCGCTGCGACCAATACCAAGTCACACTGGTCGTCACAGGATAGCACGGGGTCAGAGAGGCCGGGGTGACGTCACACAGTCTGGGAAATTCAGTATTGAAGTATGACTTCCTTTTGAGTCTACGTGTTCGCAACTGTGACTCCTACAAAGCGGTTACCTCACACTCTCACTTTCTCACTTCCGGGTATTCACCGGCAGCAGTACAAGTATACACTGGGCGAGTCCACTTGTATAAAAAGGGGTGGGCCCCTTAACACTATGGTAATGGTAATAAAAGACGTTTCCCTATAAAGAAACATTCGGCATTCATTGACTGAGAAGACAAGCTTTCGGTTGAAAATTATAAAATCTTTCATTTAAAACACATTTTTAGGATAACATAGTTTGCAAGAAGCCGATGCCAAAATTTATCTGTTACCCAGAGTGTGATTGGGTGTGGTGCGTAGAGTAAATTTATCTGTTACCCAGAGTGTGGTTAGGTGTGGTCCTTAGAGTAAATTTATCTGTTACCCAGAGTGTGGTTGGATGTGGTCCGTAGAGTAAAATGGTGCAATCAGTCAAATAGGCAAAGGAAACTTCTTGCACCTTTTCCACAAGATGCTTCTTCTTATTCTTCTGTGTGCTGCTTAGCTTCATAGCATAGAAAGTTGTGGAGAGCCATAATCGCCTATATCGTTTTTCAAGCCCTCCTTCTGACCCATCCTATCAGTCTCCTACTACTCTTTGGAAAAGTCTTTGGAGCTTTAATCAACGCCGAAGTGGCTAATCACCTTACATCCCATGATCAGCTCTCTGACAAGCAATATGGTTTCCGCTTTGCTTGATCTACTACTGACATGCTCATGGCCATAACTGAATTTGTTTACCAAGCATTTCACAATAATGAAGAATCTCGAGCCGTGGCTCTAGATATCTCTAAAGCGTTTGATAGGGTTTGGCATGCTGGCCTTCCTCATAAACTTCAGAGATACGGACGATTATTTGATTTAATAGAATCATTCCTGTCAAACCGTATAATGAAGGTCGTCCTTAACGGATTCTCTTCCAGTTCCTTTCTCACGAACGCAGGTGTTCCCCCAATGCTCTACCCTGGGCCCTACACAGTTTCTGATCTTCATTAATGATCTTCCCGATGTCATCAGTTTCCAAGTAGGCATCTATGCAGATGACACTACTATTTGCTCCTGGCTCAATAGCATCAGTGACAAAACTAACCTGGCCATTGGTCTCGAAAAGGACATCCAATCTGTTGTTGACTGTGGCAAGAAATGGCCGGTTAACTTTAATGCCTCAAAAACAAAACTGAACTCTTCCTGCCTCCCATTAGAATGTCTGTTGCTCAACTCCACGAGAGCACCTTTATGCGACTGCTTGGTCTCACACTGTCCGCTGACCTGAGATGGAACAAATACATTGAATCAATAGCTTCACCTGCCGCAGGAAATTTGGTTGTGTCGTACCAGAAAGTTTTTCTCGCCCTTGTCCATCCTTCAAATCTATAAATTAACCATTCATCATTGCATGGAATACTGCTGACATATATGGTCTGGAGCCCCAGCTGTTCGTCTCAAGGTCCTAGACAAAATCCAGAGACTGATATGCAATGTTGTTGGCCCTGATCTGGCATCTCGTTTACAGTCGCTCCCTCACAGACATGCCGTCGCCTCTCTCTGTCTTTTTCTACAAATACTTTCACGGTAACTGCTCTGATGAGCTACTTTCGCTGGTTTCCAAACTGCATGAATCTAAACGTGCTACTAGGTTGGCATTTATCTCAGTCCCACCCTTTCACTGTCGAAACCGTTAAATGTAGCCATCTCTTCTACTCCAATAGCTTCATGTCTCGCACTTTCCTTCTGAAGCTCTCCGCTTCTTGGGGTTCAAAACAATTTCAGAAGCTTGTTAAACGAAAATGGTCGTGAGAACGACAATGGCTTTTGAAGCAGCAAGTGACTTGGCCTGTTTTGTAAATTCTGTCAAAACACATCAGATCTAATGACAGTTTTCCCTAGAGAAACGCACGTTCGGATACTGCCGGAGAGTGCATGTTTATCTAATAAGATTTCTTGAATATTCAGGCCAGTAGATAAAAATAAATATAATTTTTAATAAATAAACAAAGCATCTACTTAAATATGGGTATCTGAAAAAAACAAAAACAAACCAAAAACATTTCAGTAAGAATGTGATACTGGTAAACAGAAAAGAAAGGGTTAAATTAAAATATAAACTTGGAACAGGATGAAAAAGGTTTAAAGTTTAAATATAACATGAGGAAAGACGGTAGGGATAAAGCAGAGACTGAATTGTTCTGAGAAAGATATTACTGAAAAGGCCATCTGGAAAATTTAAACCCACAAGGGATGGTGGTGGTGGGGGGAGAGATGGTAGAAGAGTGCTCTCAGAAATTTGCTGAACCAGACAAAAATAGAGAAATTAATTTTATGGTCGTTACTAAAAGTATGGCTATGAAAAACTTCTCTGTAAAAGAAAGTCAACTGAAAAAATAAGATTTGGGAATTTTTAGAGACGAAGGCGAAAGTTAAAAGAACTGATTTATTTTGCCTGACAATTTGAAGGAGATTGTAAAAAATTTGAGAAATAGAATTTTATACCTGCACCCAACTGGTAGTAAGGAGCCCGAACTGTTTGGCAGCATTTAGAGAGTTTGCTCTGGTGAGCAGTGGCATAATATCAAGTTATTTGTAGTTCGATATTGCGCATAGATAAGTGTGTCCCCCCACATGTACTTCTGGTAGACAACACTGTCGCTATATTATGCTTTTGTCTTAGCCACTTTCCGGACAATTTGTATTGCCATAGACGATGTGTATCAACCATAAGAGGTTTAATAAAATCAAATCGACCTGATTCGCACGACAGTCACAATTAAAAGGAATAAAAATTGGCTATTTGTATTGCCATAGACGACGTGTAGTCATAATTATTTGACCTAGTTTACACGACAAGAATGAATTAAGAGAAATAAGAAATAAACAAGTAAAGAAAAAAATCACCTACTCTATCAACCTTTTTTATTCAATATTTGTGACATTCGTACCAATTTCTGTAGTGAAGAATCTTTTCACGCTAGCTTCCTCTTTTCCGAAAAGATTCTATGATACATACAACTGGCAGCTTAGATATTTTTGAATGAGTTTGGTAACATACATGACATCCATATCAAAGTCTTGATCTTCAATATATAAGCTAGTTTTAAATTTAGAATATTTTGATTTCACTAGCCAACGCGTGACAAAATAAAATGGATTTTATTTTATTTCTTACGGTGGATACTACATCTGCTGCTGCTGTTTGTATAAGCTATGAAGGAAGTCTTTGTTATCGAGCCTCAGGTGAAGAATTATAGGAAATAGAATAAAAAGCTATTGTAAACTGGTAATGTCAAAATATAACGATTAAAAACAGCTAAACCACTTTGTCGATTCTCTTTTATCAGAGCAAAAATTGAGAAAAACTATGCATATAAAAAATATACAATAATATAATGTTATATACAAACAAAAATATAACATTAAAGGCTAAATCCCACAATATCTAAAGCTTTAAGCCCACTCCAGCTTACAGAGAGATGACTGGTAGGACTTAATATATAGTAATTCCAAAAACCTTCATGAGATAATCGGTATTATCCTTACTCAGCACTGAGAACATGTCCGGGTATAAGACTGACTACACTGCCGGTTTTTAATCAAATATTCAGCTATCACTGAATCTGATAAATTAACACACTTATGTAAATTTTCCGCTTTTCCCTTGCGAATTTCTATTTTCTTCTACTAAAATGGAGTACTGTTGCCATATATGGTCAGAAGCTGTCTTGTCTTCACTTTTCTGTCATGACAGAGTCCAAAAGGGTCTCCATGTACTTGTGGGTGATGAATTTTCCCCGCCCCCTTACAACTCCTTTCTTACAGATTGAGATCACTTCTACAGGGCAGAATGGTCGGAAATCAAACATTCAATCACTCGGCTACGTATTCGTTATTTTTATTAACCACAATACAAAAGATTCACATTAAACTATACTTGTTGCTTTCTACAGGCCAAGTGATTCTGCTGTCGTAATTTTAGTAGCAATTGAAGTACAGAGACTAAATACATCATAGATGGATGTAGAGAGCCACCCAGAATAGTTGCAGGAGTCAAACGAGCCAACTGCCTATGGTTTTGATAAAGGCTTACTGCATCGGGGTGGGGTGGGTGGGGGGTGTAACTGACATGCTAAGTTCGATTCTAACCGAATCTGCTTTGTTCATTTCGCACAAATTCCATTAGAAAATGAACGTATCAGTCTTCAAACAGTTATTGGTTAAGACAAAATGAGTTCTTTTGCCTTAGATGGGAGTCAATCTAGGAAAAGTATAATTCTGAATTCAAAAAGAGCTTGAAGGGGGATAAGTTCCGTCAAGCTATTTTGTTCTAGACACACCCACTGATGCTACAGCTGCAGTACATATGATACCCCACTTTAGAAGAGGTGGGGGAGTCCCAATTACATGAATTCAGAAGACCAGTAAAGTTGTAGTTGGCCCACCTGACTCCTACTTCAATTCTAGTTTGGTTTCTACCTCCAGGTATGTAGCATTTGGTGGGAGGGCTTTAGGCTATCACACAGGCTCTGTATTAATTCAATTGCTACTAAAATCGCAGCTGTTTGGCTTGGTATGCAGGAATCAATAAAATCAATTTACTATGCCCGTTCTTAACGTGGTTATAACTTATCATATTATGCATAGTCTTGGCATGAATCCTGAAATGCATTAAGGATGTTGGGACACCACAGCTGGTGCAGCCACTTTATTCACTGAGTCTGTATATTTGGCAAAATGCAGGGGTGTTTGAACCTGAGCCCATATACTCACCTCATAGAATATGACTGCCAAGTGAAATGGAACAAAGTACTAAAGCCCGAGTGGGGAAAATGACTCTATTGACCATCATCCTGCATTTTGTTTCTCTGGCTGCCATGGTCTTTCTTGCTGCTGGATTAGGTAACCCATCACTAGACTTAACTGCTCTTAGTCTGTATTGAGTGCATAAATAATTACCTTTACCTGTTTGTTGTCATGTGAGTAAGGACCCTTAAATTAACGTTTTATAAGTAGAAACGTAAAAATGAGGTTTGAGGGTTAAAATTAAAATAAACAGAAAATTAAAACTTGATTTGGCAAATTCAACTTTGGCTTCAGAAGGGCATGGGCCCACGACTGGAAACTGGAAGAAGAAGAAAATGAGAAGTTATATTGACAGCTGATAAAGTAAGATTTGAAAGTATTTTGAAGTGCAGTTATCAGCACACAGTGCATTTTCAGTCAGAATGGGATTAGTGTGCTGATAGGTAGCACTTAGATATGTTTTTTTATGAACTCAACCTGGGTGGGTCACAATTTTTGTTTGAAAAGGGTTTAAAGCTGAGGACCAGATATCCTTTTTCTGCGACAAATGTTTGCAATTTTTAGAATTATCGTTATTTGGGATTTCTGATGAGGAATCAATCCTTCACCAGTAAAACTTTTAAAATAAATTTTTAACTGCGCTGGTTAATTTACAGGAATAAGGAGATAATAAAATGTGAGCCATGGGCATTGTGAATTTTCTGGTGCCTGGCTAGGTAAAGTGAAATCATTAATCATTGTTATCAGAAAAGATTTCTGCATACAGTTAGTTTGCATTTCACTCAGAAGTCATTTTTTGTAAGTGAAGAAAACAGAACAGGTTCAAACACATTTGCATTTTGCTGAACACACAGACACAATGAATAGAGAGAAAACCATCAGATGTAATTTCTTAGAAGTTATTTTTCTTTTGTGTGAAGGGCTACAGATATTGAGAAAGGAATGACTCACAGTAATAGTGAAGAGAGTACAAGAGAGAGAGAGAGAGAGAGAGAGAGAGAGAGAGAGAGAATCATCATACCACTGAAAAAAGTAAGAAAGAACAGAAAGGAGGTCTGTAAAATGATTCTGTATTTGAATTTCAAACTTTTTACATGGGACTCCCAACAGACAGTTGGCAACAGAAACTGACTAAAAAGAGAAAAAAAAGATAATTTTAAAGTTAAGTTGGAGATTTATATTTTTTGTTCTTTGCCTCTGTCAATTTTATTTTGTTTTGTCTTGTTTATCATGAAGGCTTTTGTTATGAATAAATGACATTTAGTAATACTGAGATGGAAGATTGAGGGGTGGGGGGTATGAACCTCATAATCGGTTGACGGCTAACCTGAACATTTTGGATTTGAAGCTAGCTCATTTCAGTGAGTGTACAAATGCATTGAGGGCATGGCTACAAACACTAAGTTGTGACACTGAGGCCATGAAATGATATTCTACTAGCATTTTCCAAATTTTAATGGGATATTTTTTACTGTCAGAGTTTTCAGGATATTATCTTCAGATAACTTAATAAGCTCCATTTGTAACTCCTTATGTTAGCTAAGTGAGGCTGAAAAGCAAGTTTCAGGATAACGTTATGCTTTTCAAAATCACTGAATCTTTTGCTGTATTTTTCTATTAAGGATTCTAAGACTGACTGGTATTTCTGAAAAGATTCATAGATATTCTCTTCCCTTTCACTCATTACTTTTGTCAAGTAGGCAAAGTGTTTTGTAAGTGTTGACTGAGTTAAGAAAGGACTTGAAAAATAATAATTTCTTTCTAAAGGACAGAATTTTTTGACAGTTATCATATATTGATTTATTTCTGCCTTGTAACAAAATATTTAACTAATTTTGCTCAACACACAAATGCAGCATCTCTGTGAAATTTTGCATCTGATAATTCACAAAACTTATTGTTTTCTTTGAAAAAGCCAATTATTTGCTCTCATGAAGACACAATTTTGACCAATACGTGTCCTTGCGCTAACCAGCATATTTTCGAGTGTTAGACCAAACCTACACTATTTACCACATCATTTATCATCAACATGTTTCAAAACTGAAGATCCTTCATGACATTTGCTTGTAAATAGTTCACAATATTTATAATCTTTTGTAATGTATTATTTAAAATAGAGATGTTGCTGGTGCAGAATGCAATGCAAAGAAATCCGTGTATTTGGAGCTGTGCTCTTTTTAGACATGCAATAAATCCTTCATTTTTAGCCATCATAATTGGAGCACCATCAGTATACACACTTACCAATTTAGTAAGATTCAGCCCAACCTTATGATATTTCTCTTTGAAGTTATTAAAAATATCTATTCTTTGTGTCTTTTAAGGGAGCCTAAAGCAAGTAATTCTTCAAATTATTGAAAATCATAATGAAATACAATACTTGTGCCAAATCAGTAGAATCTGCTGCATCATCCAAAGCTAAAGAGAAATATATATATATATATATATATAAATACTGTCTTTTTTTATTATATTTTGGAGTTGCTCTGTTACATAACTGGCCAATTCATGCTGTTAATCTGTATTTGTCTTTCTTGAAAGAGACACATTTTTATTTGTCTATATTTCTGGGATGAGGTATTATGTACATTATTTACATTATTCAGACTATTGTCTTCATCTTTGTCGCCATATTTATTACAACGTTTCAGTCATTGTACGCTTAAAGCTAGGCATATGCTAGGCCACAAAAATCTCCTGAGCCGACCAAGCATAGAAATGAATACAATATGGAAACCAGTAATAAGGAGTGCCAAAAATAAGTGATAATAACAACAAAAATTGCAATATGAACTCTGGTAAAAATGGTTGCTGAGACATTAGGTTTATAACACCCAGAAATTCATACACAGATGTCCTCAAGGACACATGGCACAGTAGAAAAAGGTGTTGGTTAGATCCAGTGACAGGACCCAAAAAGTGTGAGTTCAATACCTGGTTAAGGAAACTTTCAGAGGGAGATTAACAGGAGATAACTTTTCCCGAAATTCAGATAGAATAATATGGGGAAAGTACAACTTCTCAATATTTACATTATTCGGACTATTGTCCTTATCTTTGTCGCCATATTTATTACAACATTTTGGCTGTTGTACGCTCCGGCCTTCTTTAGGTGGTTGGTATGTCGAACTGAAACTTTTAACAGGAGATAACTGACATCCATTAAACATGGCACATGGAACTAAAACAGTCTGCCCCAGTTAGTGAAATAAAGGGTTCAGTTCAACATTCCAACCACTTGAAGAAGGCCGGAGCGTACAATGACTGAAATGTTGTAATAAATATGGCGACAAAGATGAGGACAATAGTCAGAATAATGTAAATTTTTATATTTGTTAATTTTATCTGGATGTAAACATTTTAGAACTTCTACAATGCATTCCTTTATGAGCTCTGTCCAAGCAAATATGCTTGTTTCTCTTGCAGTATTTCCTGAATCTAATATAGAATGGAACAGTCATCTCTGCTTTTTTTTTTCCATCTTTTAATTTCTGCAGTGCAATCCTTTGAGTTTCGCCCTCCAATTTAGCATATTTATTGTCTTTATGTTGATGCACATTGTATTTTTTAACAGTTGAAATTGCAGTATCACAAAGCAAGCAAGACATTTTACCAGTGTTAATCAGTAAAAAATATTTCAATTCCCATTCATCATTGATGTTCCTATTTTCTTCTTTCAAAGTTTCTTTTAATTTTTGGAGATAATGGTCTAAAATTAATAGAGAAATGATTTTATTCTGAAAAGATAAATAAATAAATGTTAGCAAATACAAAGAATTAGGCTTATATATGCATTATTATTGAAAACCGTGCTAATTATTTGCATCAGAGATGAGTATACATAATAAAAATTAGTAAAGATATTAAGAGCAGTTAAAATATGCAGGCAAGTTGTATTATAGTCTCAAATACTAAAGGGAAATTTTGATGGCTTGCTAAATGAGATATGGTTGTGGGAACCTGGCAATGCTGCTCAAAAGTTGTGGAGTTGACATCTAAATCTTCAGCTCCAACATTTCGAAATTTACTGGCTCCTGCTCGAATATTTTGAGATTTTTAGTTCTCGCTGTATCCCTGAGCTGTAGCTAGTCTCACAGTAATAATTGATATAACTTATTGAAATTGGACCTTGTTCATTGTTATTAATAACCCATAATTGATTATTCTAAATTGTAATGAATATACCTCTGCCTTTGTTAACTTCTTATTATTGTTTGTAATATAATCAATAACTGATATCAAATTAGAAGCACATTTATTTTTTGGTCAAGGCTACAAGCTGCAGAGAAACAGGTTTAGGAGTCTGACTGGCTCAATGGAGGTTTTGAGACTGCTGGCTGGAAGTAGAAGGATTGGTTTGGTTTATTTTGTTTTATGGCATATCAACCTCAGTTTGTTATTTAAAGCCAGCTGACATGATTTTAGTATAGGTTCATATGAATAGAATATGTATTCTTTGCAAGAAAATAGTTTGTAGATCAGGTTTCAGTGCATTTCTGTAGAGCTGTTTTTGTTGAGAGTATTGCTGGTATTTTAAAAAATATATTGCTGGTATTTTTTTCAAAAATGTATTGTTGGTAATTTCACTATAAAAATGAATTTTTATACTTTCATACTGTTTTGACCTCAGTTTGGGGGTTAACTATTTGCCCATCACTGTGACCCTAACAGGTGCTACCCAAAAAGCTAGACCTAAGATTTAAAATGCATTTTAAAAATGAAAAAAAAAAGGTAATTAAGAGGTGGTTCCATGCTCAGCAAAAGCTCCTGATTAGAGGCCTTGCTGCTGGATGTAGTTTATTGTCTTAGCCAGGACTTAAGCAGAGGGAAGGTGAATGCTTAGGCGTGCTAATGATGAGGGTGTTGGCTGAGGTAGCCTTCCCGGAATCTGATCAGAGAAACAGTTTTTATTAGTGGATTATTTCATTGATTCCTTGAGAAATCCTCAGGTGAGAGAAGACATCACGAGAAAGGGGTCAGTCATGTTGCAACAAGCATTCAGGGAAGTGATGGTTGAGGCAGAAGACCATTAGGGGAGAACTTTATAGAAAAGAAACTGATGAGCTGCTATAAGTATGGGATGAATGTTGTTGGAGTTGTCATGAGAAACTGAATTGTCTGCAGGATGACAGGGAGAAAGAAGCTGCCAATGGGATGTATTGGACACTGTATTTAGCCACCCCAGGGAGGTATGACATAATGTGCTTCATGTGTAACAGAGAACTAGAGAATATCCCACCCTTAGATGTGGTAGATTAGGGTTAACCCTGATGTAGTAAATGTGATAGGGACAGACATTCGGGTTAGGCAGTGCATGTACGTAGTTAGAAGTTGGAATGAGAAAAGATTGCACCCCGCCCCCACCCACCACCCAAAAAGTAATGCAGGTAAATATGTCATTAAGTCAAAGGAGAAGAAATGCTGGGCCTATTGAAGAGGAGTGAACACACGTATTTGATTAGGGTGTAAGGAGGCGAAATGTTACAGGTGTGAAGGAAAGGGGCACATTAAAAGGGTGTGGGCCTTCACATGAAGGTGTTGTGTGTGTGATAAAGTGGGGCATATAATAAGACAATGTGGTAGAATGACGTGTAATGCATGTAGAAAGCAGGACCATATGTGTTGAGATTGCCATAGTGACAGTAATTTGGCAATGGTGAAATGAAAGAGTGGTGTAAATATTTGGACTTTTGAAAACAAAAGGGAAGAGAAGGAACCCCACAAGAGAGGTAGGAGGTTAGGAAAAATGGAGTAAGGAGAGCAAAGGGTGGTATCCAATTCTTATGAATTGACGTGTAATGTGAAAATACGAGGACAAGAAATTGAGGCATTGATTGATATGCTTTCATATATTAACTTATAAATTCTGCTCAGTTAAAAAGTTTGAGAATAATGCCCTTGTACACCCAGAGGAAACCTGTATGTGGTGGGTTAAAGAATTGGGTTGAGGCCTAAGCAGTGAAGGATGAGACTGAACATAGAATAGTGAATTTATTGATTAATGAAATATTTCCGAGGTTTGGAGAACCTGTAGAATTGGTGACTGATAATGAACCAGAGAATGTGAATGAGGTAATGAACCATGCATAGAAGAGCTTAAATACAACTTATACAATTACCTCATCATAATACGACACCTTCTGATTACCATTTCTTCATGTCTTTACTGAATGATTTTAATAAAAAATGTCCCTGGAAGACTGTAAAAAGCAGCTAGAGCAATTATTTCCTGAGAAAGAGAAACAATTGTGGGAAGTTGAAGTTGCATGAAAATTATGGAGTAAAATAGTAAATACATCTATCAATAAAGCAAAATGTTAACAAACTTCTTAGACAATCTGATATTGTTTATCATTTATGATATTGTTTATTATTTGATATTATATTTATTAGTTATGATATGGTTATCATTAAAGCAAAACAACATTTTTTATAGTTAGATAGCATCATAAAAAATGTCAAAAAAATTTATAAAATCTCACAATCATTTACATATTTAAAATGTGTTTCAAGAAACAACAGAAATTTTATTTGGTATCACAAAATATAAACAGATAAAAAGGACATTGTCGAAAAATTTCACGAGTATTTTTGCTGATTTTAACACAGGCTGATAGATTCTTTGACCTTCCTCACTGGAGTAGTGGTTTTGCAGAAGTTTGCTACAGTTGAAGGGAAGCTAATATTTGTGAATTAAGGTAAGTTTGTTCAATATGAAAAACAACAAACAGGATTGTATTAGTCTAGAACTGGGTGATTTCAACTGTTGAGTGGGTGATGAGCAATTGAACAGAAAATGGTGGTCAACTAGAAATTTTGGTGGGTGATATGGGATTTTAATATAGGTGATAAAGTATTTCAACATATGCCACTTGAACTAAAAATTTCGAAGGAAACATGCAAGAGATTAAATGGGAATAAGTGAGTCACATTACAAGATGAGATATAAATATCCCCACAAACATCGAATACTTGAGTATCGGATATTTTCTATAGTTTTCATTAACATTCAAAAAGTTCTTTAGAGGAAATAGCATTTTTTTTTCAGCTATTAATCAGATAAAGGAAGAGCAATGACAAACATTTGCTGAATTTTTATCAGTTTCTAATGGTGTATATTCTTTTTAATTTATAATTATGAACAAAATTATTTAATTTTTTCATCAGCACTTGCAATGCTAACTCTAAACATAAAACTAACCTTGACCATAAACCTAAATAATATATATATATATATATATGAAGAAATATAGTTTTAAGGTGTGCTATATTTATGGGATAAAGTGCTCAATATCAGAGATAGAGCATATGTAAATATAAAAGTAAACATTGAAGTCAACACTCAGAGGCGTCAGGCTGTTTCAGATATATATATATATATATATATATATATATATATGTATGTGAATGTATTTTGGAACTGCCAGATATTCTACAAAAATATATGCAGAAATAAAACCAGTATTTAATAATTAAAAATATTCCAACAACTTATTATTTACACTATTTGGACTATTATCCTCATCTTTGTTGCCATGTTTATCACAACGTTTCAGCCATTGTACACTCTGGCCTTCTTCAGGTGGTTGGAATGTTGAACTGAAGCCTTTATTTCGCTGACTGGGGTAGACTGTTCTAGTTCCACGTGCCATGTCTAATGGATGTCACTTATCTCCTGTTAATTCCCCTCTGAAAGTTCTCCACTGCTTTAACCAGGTATTGAACTCACACACTTTGGGTCCTGTTACTGAATCTAACTAACAACTTTATCCACTGTGCCATGTGTCCTTGTATTCTGTGTATGAATTTCTGGGTATTATAAACCTAATGTCTTCAGCAACCATGACATAGCACACGGAACTAGAACAGTCTACACCAGTGAGTGAAATAAAGGGTTCAGTTTGACATTCCAACCAACTGAAGACTGGAGTGTACAACGGCCGAAACGTTGTAATAAATATGGCGACAAAGATGAGGACAATAGTCCGAATAATGTAAATAGTGTACATAATATCTCATCTCAGAAATATAGACAAACTTATTATTTATTATTCCAACCTCAATAATTATAGGAATGTTCTTTGCCTAAGTGTTTTCTTACTATATAATCATTGCATGCTAGTGACTACTATAATGGAATGTTTTCTGCCATTGAGTTTATAATCTGGTTCTTCAAAGACCTTATCCTGTTTTTGAGCAGCCTACAAAGCAAATAAATGGACCTCAAAATATAACAAATTTTGAAATAAACAGTACAGGATAACATTACCCAAATATTGATTCATAATTTTTATGTGACATTTCCATTTACAGTTACAGAGCATATTTTTAGTATCTAGTTTATATTCAAGATAAAAATGGCCCACTTGAAATGGAAATCAGATTTGTCAACTGTCATTTTAATTCATTATTATGTTTGTCTAAACTAAATCACTCCTCCCCCCCAACAGACATCAAAAAATAAAGTCAGTAATGTTTTAATACATCCCTCTTACCTACTGTCTCCTTATAGTTTATTTATGAACCAACTTTAATGAAGCTGGCTTGATTTAATAAAAAAAAGGTGGTGGCTGGTAGTGGGGGAGGAAATTTTGTCTTTTTGTTTTATCCTTTCTTTTTCTAATCACACAGAATGATGAAGATGGGTGGAGGTTTGGTATTTCAGAAAGCCATATTTTATGAATTAGACTTTTTTGAAAATGTTATTTAATAATATCAATAAAATGTGACCAAACAATCATGTAGATTTTTGGCTTCAGATATTTTTTTTATGTAGAGTTGGTGCTGAAAAAAAAAAACACTATTTTCTTTCACATTTGATGGGGAAAAAATTACTTGGAATATTTTCAGTGGGATTTTGAATTCATCAGCTTGATGATGCAAAAGAAATTTTATTTTTAAATAAAGATTTGCTTGAAGAATAGAAAAATGTAAAACTTAAGACTATTTTCATGTCAGAAATATTTTTAAAAGAATTTTCTTTTCTTTTTTTTAAGGCTGATAGATTTTTTTATATTCCTAATTTATAGGTAGGTACCTCCCCAAAAAGCTAGACCTAAATTCAAAATGCATTTTAAAAATGAAAAAAAAATTTTTTTCTTGAAATTTTAATTTCAAGCTAATAGATTAAATTTCCAATAAGCAAAATACTTTGCAGTATTTCAAAGCAAATTTAAACTTGATTAGAAATTTTTTTTTTAAATCGCTAAAAGTCGGCCATAGTGACAAATCTGTGATACCAGAAAAACAAGATTTTTAATCAAAATTTTGACAGTTCTAAAAAGGACAAAAAAAACAAAAAACTTTCCATATCAAAAAATTCCTTTGATCTTTCCTATTAAACTAAAACACAAAGATTTTGATAATAAAACTTTGTTTTTATTAAATTTTGGCATTTTTTTCATCATGTATGCTTTTTTATTAGTCAATCAATTGGATGTACATACTTATAGGCTAAAATAATTATTTTTTAATATAAATGAATAAAGTTTCTGCATTTTATTTCTGCATATTTAATTATATTTGTGTTTTATTTCTTTTTTTATTTTTACACGTGGGGTGAAACTGTGATCGTTGAACAGGTAGAATATACTTTGCTGTATTCAGTTATGTTTTCTAGCATAATTTAAGTGCAAAGTAAATAATATTTTCCTAAAATTCTGTTAATTAATCCTTAATTTTACTAATTTTCTTTGAAACAAATCTCTAAGTCAGATATTTGATTTTAAAGAGATTTTTAAAGTGTCATAAATTTTCTGTCATCATTTTTCAATTAAAGTGGCAGATCGATGATTTATTGACTGTGATAATGATTTTAAAAATGCCTTTAAAACCTTATTGAAATACATAAAATTATTTTTCTTTCTTATAGATTAACTTTTTAGGCAAATATTTTTCAAATAAAAGTAAAAAATACATTTTATTAAAACAGGAGACATTTGACTTAAATTATTTTTAAATACCTTTTTTATTTTTTTTTTAAGACAAATTTTGGAATGTACCAAGAAGAATTTGTCAGGCTGAGATATTTATTTTGTAATGATCATCATCATCACATACATAAATACTTACACAAATTAAAATTCTACAACAACAAGCATTCATTGGATAATAAATCAACACTACTGTGTAATGCGACAATTTATAAATCGCAGCTATGCGACAATTTTATAATCGCTATATTTTCATGCAGTCAATTTTGTTCCTTTTTGAGAGAAACGGATCCCAAGAGCCTTCTCAGCTTAGTAAATATTTGCAATCCACCCCCACGAACAATATATTTTTCCAGCGCGTGATCAAGTCAAGTTTCCCGCCAAGTTCTCTTGATCCTGTCACGTGATTACATTATCTATAAATAGCTAACACGAGTTTGCCTTTTTTTCTTTTTTCTCTCTTCTTCCTGCGAAAGATGTGACCTTTAATTCTTGTCTTGACCATGACGGTCAGACGTTAATGCATATTTACGCATTCACGTACATACGAACCTTCACAAACTTTTCTAACCTACATTACAAACATACAGAACATTTCCAAACATGCAACAAGAACTTTATTCTTCTAAAACTACAGTTTAATAATTAATCCAACTTCGTGAGCCCCGGTAAAAATATTCCCAGTCTAAGAGACATAACTCCATCAGATCTTTAACTTCTACGCATGTACATCACCAACCAAATAAATACAATGTTAAGTTTTTAAAACTATTTTGTTCCTTCTTGTATTTCACGCTCTGTGGTATTTTACGTTTAATATAAATTGTGAGGTTATTCACGCAGCTGTAAACAAATATCCACAATGGTCATTCTTCTTAACATGCCCTCTACAATTTGAATTAATCTCATTTGTTCCGAAGAAATGGGTAATAATAATCTGGAATAGTGATGGAATCAAAGTTGAAAATAGTTTCGACTAAGAGTCCAAAGACCGGCGGACGACCCACATTGAGGAAGCCCGGAGAATGCATTGGCTGAAATTAAACATTGTGTTAGAGAACAATAACAAAAACTATGAACATCATAATCTAAAACAAAAACAAAAACAAAAACCTATGGGATAATAATCAGGAACAATTTAATTAAAAAGAAACAACAAAAAATAAAGAAAAAAACATTGAAGCGATAGCAAATGTGACCAAAAATATAGAATGCTGTTAGTTTTTTTAAACGTACTTTCGCTTTTTATAAAGCAGGAAAACAAAAAACAAACTTATTTTCTTGAATACTGTGAGTGTGATTTAAAAAAAAAAACTTCATAAAACTGATTTTATTTTTAATTTCATTTTTACATCTACCATTCTTAATAATCGTCGAAGAAAGTCTTCATAACAGACAAGATAAATTACTAAATTAACAACTTATGATAAGAACGTAGTAAGAGAAATAAAAATATTTTCGAAAAATCCTTTTCCTTCGAAATTAGAAAATACCTACCAAAGCCAAAGCACTGTGTACACGGTCATAAATGAATTCAGTCCCTTCTGAATAATTTTCCATCCAACAAAAGCGATCAAGACTTAAGATATTTTTATAAAAATGAAAAGAATCTTTAATTCCTGTAAGAATCCCCACTAAATTTTCGATACCTAAGGTTTAAAATGAATTTTTAAAAATAAAAAGCATTCTTGAAGCTTTCTTTTTAGCTTCAATTTAATTGGAAGCTAAATGATTAAATTTACTATTTCCAGCCTGGTGTCTTTCAAATAGAAATTATTAATTGGAATCTAAACTTTTTGGTCGCTTTCAGAAATCGTTTAAAATCAGCCATATTTAACACATTTGTAAACAAAAGTTAATTTCAGGTTTTAAAAATCTTCCAAAAATAAAATGTACTCTTCTGAAACTTTATTTGAGAAATATAAGCTGATTTAAAGTATAATCTCATTTGAAAAAATATTATTTACTTCAAGTTTAAAATAACAGAGAATTTTATTTTTAAAACAAACAGTAGAGGTCATTACGCATTTGTCCTCGTCACTTGCCACTCGTAATTTACTTAACACTAATAGTCATTGATAAGGTGTTGACGGATTTATTTGTTGTTCTACGGAGACTTTATCTGTTAAAACATAATTTAAGAAAATGACGGGTGAGCGCCTTTTTTATATATAATTTTTAAGTACTCAGTAATCTGACACATGTTGGAAAATATTATACGTTATGGAATCCTCCACATTTGCCTGTCACCCCCTACAGGAAGATGCACTCTTCCCCAAATAAACCTTTAACCAATCATCACTTTACTTTTCCGAACTCAATCCTCCATTGGTTAAAAGGACACTAAAATGTAGCAAAGTTGAAACAAACCTTTTTTCCTGCGCAGGCCTCTGGAGCCTATTTGGAAACTCGAAAATCTATAAAAAGAATCGCTCTACTTCATTCAAGTCAGTCAGACAGTGAGTTTCGAGAGATACCAGCAGACCTCACGCGTGCCAACACACTGACTTAATAACCACTACCAACCTCTCAACAACTCAACACAACTCGCACAATTATTGCCGCGTGAAGAAACTTAAGTTACAATTTGCTAAAAAGTGAAATTATCACTACAAAACAGTAATTGTACATTCAATCAACTTTAGCCTTATCAATTAAAGGCGAAAAACTCTTCATAACTTAAATCAACACTAGCAGTTGTCACACACATACACACTTGAACTTACACAATTGACAATTTTCCTTGCAGATATCAAACTATTTTAATTCCACAAACAAACAAACTATCAACCTTTACTCACTAAATTTCTGCATGGACAATCTTTGTAACCTTATCTCACTTGCCACATTTAACAAGCAACTTATTATCACTTTGTGCATGTCAAATATATATATATATATATATATATATATATATATATATATATATATATAAATTCACGTTATTTTTTAAATCTCTAATGATGTTGTTTTCAGTAATTTCTTGAAGTTGAATTGTCTATTTATTTTTGTTTGATTTATTTGTTGTGGATAAATGCATTACGATCACGCACATTCTTGGCCTTCACAAAAAATCACCTTCTGAAACATCTTAATCAGCATAGATTCCGCAACAAAATTGGTAACCTCCGACTAAAAATTTTTTAGTAAACTCGACATTTCAACAAAAAAATTGATAACTCCGACGTTTTTGATAAAGACTGGCACACTACAAACGAATTTAGCTGCGCTGACAACGACCATCTCTCATCACAGAACCTGCAACTGTTTACCCGTTAAAAAGGCGCAAAATTCAGGGTTTTTTTTTCGTCCAAAAAAGAACCGAATCAATATGGCTGAACTCGTGCCACCAACTGAAACCGCACTGAGATTAGAACTTCCAACGTATAGTACCAACGCGCAAACGTAGTTCGTCCAACTTGTTGCAATTTTGCAAGCGAGGCGCATTACTTCACAACAATCCAAATTCGCATTTGTGGGGGAGAAGCTACCTGCCGACGTGGCGTCGGAGGTAGCGGACATCCTTAAAGAGCTCCCACCAGATAAGCTTTACGAGGTGCTTAAACAGGCTATACTCCAACGAACAGGTTGTTTGGAAGAACAATAAACCTTCCCAACTCTTACGCAAGATGCAAACCTTGCTTGGCACCAATTCTATGTCTGAGACAGTACTAAAACAAATGTGACTAGACAAGCTAAACCCGGACATAGTTCAAATTCTCGCCGCATTAATTAATGAAGTGGGTATACAAAAATTAGAGCAATAGCAGACAAACCCGACCGACTCATCACATCGCCTCCGTCGTGTCGTCAAACGATTCACTTCCAAACACCAATCGACAATTGCAAACTTTAGCATCGGAATTGAGGAAACTTTCCCTGCGTCTAGACGACATCCAAAACACACCAAGCAAAGTCGAAGCAACTCAGCGAGTCGACACAATATTCAACGACGACGTTCAACATCGCGGCGCCCCCGACAACAATCAACGTGGTTATTGCTGGTACCACGAGATGTTCGGCGCGCGCGCAAAAAGATGTCAACCGCCGTGTTCATACCAAAGCACGCTCCTAACCAAGCAACAGGGAAACGACCATCCTGGCAACCATTAAAGGCGTTGGCTGCCAGGGCTGATGGTAAAAATCGCCTCTTCTATATCCACGACCGCAACAACAACCTCAAATTTCTGGTCGACACAGGCGCGCAGATCAGCGTCATACCGCTGAGCAACTGTAGCAAGTCGGTAACGACACCCAAGAAAGCTCTACTAAAATTGCAAGCCGCCAACGGCACACCCATTATCACATACAGCGGGCGCATTGTGTCCTTCAACATCGGCCTAAGAAGGGAATGTACCTGGACCTTCACGATAGCCGATGTTGAGACGCCAATCCTCAGAGCGGATTTCAACTTGTCTGTCGAGCTATCTTCACGCACACTTACCGACACGCGCACTAACCTACAACGCCGCGGGGCATTGTCTAGGCATTCAACGATCGGTTTGACCGCGCTAATAACGGGAGCGAACAGTTACGAGGGTCTACTCTGACAGTATAAGTCACTACTGTCGCCATTCACTTATGCAGAACCCATCAAACACAACGCTACCCATGCTATTAAGATAACTGGGCCCCCAGTTCATACATCACCTCGTCGGTTGCATCCAACTAAATTACGGGCAGCTAAGGACGAATTTGAGAATATGCTCAAATTGGGCATAATTAGACCATCTTCAAGTCCTTATGCTACACCGTTTCACATGGTTCATAAAAGCGATGCCGACATTTGGCGTCCGTACGGGGATTATAGGCTGTTGAATACCCCAAACTGTGCCGGACAAATATCCTATACCCCATATCAAGGACTTCGCCCTATCGTTAGAAGGCGCCACTGTATTTACCAAATTAGACCTAAAGAAAGTTTTCTACCAAATCCCAATAGAGCCATCCGACATTCCCGAGACAGCCATTATTACCCCTTTTGGCTTGTACGAATTCACTTGGATGCAGTTCGGTCTGCCTAATGCAGCGTAGTCTTTTCAGTGCCTCATCGATGAAGTTCTTCGAGGTTTACCTTTTACCTATGCCTACATTGATGACGTTTTGATAGCCAGCAAGACCTCCGAAGAACACCACGACCATTTGCAATCAGTATTCCAGCGACTACAACACTATGACTTGAAACTAAATGTCGAAAAATGCTTGTTTGCAGTCCCTTAGCTGACTTTTCTCGGTCGCATCATTGATAAGCACGGGTTAACTCCCTTAGATGAGAAAGTCAATGACATCAGCAACTTCCAACCACCGTCAACCCTACGCCAGTTACGTAGATTTTTAGGGATGGTAAATTACTATCGCCAGTTCATACACAACTGCGCCGACATACTCTTGCCACTGACAAACCTCCTTTCTAGACATAAAAAAAAGAATCCTAAGAATCGCGTTGGCCGCTGACAAATTAAATTCTTTCAACAAAGCCAAGCATTTTCACACTCAAGCACATCCAGGAGGCAAGGCAACGTTGCAGACCATATCAGACAGATTTATCTGGCCTGGTATGGCAGGTGACATAAAACAATGGTCCCGCATGTTTCTAGGTTGCCAAGCAACAAAGGTTGGCAGACACACTAAAGCACCGGTGTTAACCTTCCCCAATCCAGACGGACGTTTTACTCACTTGCCTTTGGATTTAGTTGTGCCATTGGAACGCGTAGACGGTTTTGAGTACATGCTTACAATCATCGCCGTATCGCTCGGATCTATAACAGCTGAATCAATCACCAATGCCATCTTTACGCATTGGATCACTATCTTCGGGTGCCCCTCGGTGATCACCACCGATAGGGGTCCGCAATTCCAATTTACACTCTTCAGTGAATTTACCAATCTCTTGGGAATTAAACACATTTCCACCACCGCATGTCATCCTTGTGCGAACGGCCTGGTGGAGAGATTCCACCGACAACTAAAGTATGCTCTGACAGCATCGACAATTGGCTGAACGTGGGTCGAGAAATTACCTTTCATTATGGTAGCTCTGCGCAACACCGTTAAAGAGGACCTAAAGTGCACTAGTGCCGAGTTAGTTTTCGGAACACCTCTGACCTTGCCCGGACAAATTTTCAGCCCAGTAACCGAAAATCTTCCTGCCAGTCATTTCGTTACCGATCTTCGGCAAAAGATGTCTGACGTTATTTATACACCAATTCGGGCTTATCACAAACCGTACTATGTCCCCGCTGATCTACACAAAACTGACTTTGTTTTCCTTCGTCGAGATTCAGTCCACAATCCCCTAACTCCTGACTACACTGGACCACACCAAGTAATCTCTCGAGCATCAAAGTATTTCATCATCAATCTCGCGGGGAAACATACAACAGTCAGCATTGATAAGTTGAAGCCAGCTTACATTAATCCGGACAACACGATTTCGACCACGCCACAAACATATCCTGATTCAGAATCGTCTCGTGCACACTCCTCTTCAGCAACTAAATCGGTAGATAATCCACCTACCCGAACAAGATTGGGTAGACATGTGCACTGGCCTATCAAATTTACAACCTACTATACATATTAATACTCATGTGGCGCATGACCATTATTCTCGGGGAGGGGTATTTTAGAATCCTCCACATTTGCCTGTCACCCCCTACGGGAAGATGCACTCTTCCCCAAATAAACCTTTAACCAATCATCACTTTACTTTTCCAAACGCATTCCCCATTGGTTAAAAGGACACTAAAATGTAGCAAAGTTGAAACAAACATTTTTCCCACGCAGATCCCTGGAACCTATTTGGAAACTCGAAAATCTATAAAAAGAATCGCTCGACTTAATTCAAGTTAGTCAGACACGGAGTTTCGAGAGATACCAGCAGACCCCACGCGTGCCAACACACTGACTCAATAACATTACCAGCCTCTCATCAACTCAACTCGCACTGCTATTGCCGCGTGAAGAAACTTAACTTACAATTTACTAAAATGTGACATTATCACTGCAAAAAAATTTATACATAAAAAATTAAAAATTATTTAAAAAATCTTGAAGTAAAATACTTTGTATTAAGCTTTTAAATTTTTGATTCATAAATATAGTTTTCACTTAATAACAATATCACCTAACTGGATTGAAGTAATGCAGAATTTTAAACGATTTATAGATTATAAATCATTATAATTAAAAATAATAAAAAAGATTAAAACAATTCTTGTACAAATTCATTATTCATCGCATTTTTTTCCTAAGATAATAAAGCAAGTGGTGGTGACGGGATTACCTGATGAAATGTGCTCCTGAGCTAAACTATTGCCTAGCTAACTCTAGCTTTCCAGCCTTTTGGAAGTCCTCATTTGTTGTCCCTGTTTTTAAGAACTCTTCTGACTCTACTGACCCATCTAACTTCCTTTTCGTCAGCCTTGTAGAACCCAAATTCTATATTATTCCAATACCCAAAATAGTTGGGTCAAATCTGTGCAAAAAGTGGATCACAGAACACTTTCAACTTCATACACTTTCAAAAAAAATCTCGAGCCCTCATTGGTTAACAAATATACAAGTAGACGTGACTATCCACCCATGCTTAACTAATTTTTACAACTCGTGACTGAAATCCAAGTTCGCGCCAAGTCTTTGTGAGCCACCCGAAGCAAATAAAAACAGAAACCCATTCACACTCGCCAGTGAGAATTGTGACATCAATCGAATTGCAACTAAACTTCACGTCTCACAATTTTAAGTTTTTTCGTTCATCTATCGCTAACGTGCTTACGGCAATTTCTCTAATTTAGAGATGATGTCTAGTACCATCGACGGGGTTATGCTCATCTCACTCAACAGAGCCTCAGTTCTAGGGTGAAAAATCAGGTATGGATACTCCGGAGGAGTCGAGTGTTGAGTCGGATGAGAATATCCGAGCAAAGCATTCAGCCTTATCAGCTATTGAAGTTAGGACTTCGAATTGATTGAATAGAAGAGGGATTATGGATTTGCTGTTGTTCAGTAGACTTTTGCAAAGCCGCCAATAATCTTTAGAACCAAACTTGTGAGATGCAATACGTTGTTTCATTCTATAAGCAAATAGTAACTTTGGTTCATTAGGGACATGCTTGCACTCATTACGCGCAGAGACGAAGAGACGTCTGTTGCAATCAGACGTGTTGCTTCGGTACAGACAGAACAACTGATTGCTATGGGCTATAGCAGCAAAACAAGCAGCTGATAGCAAAGGAGATGAGCGCGATTTAACTTTGTATTTCCTGCTGAGATGATAGCCTCGATGCCTGCTTTTATTCAGACGCACATTTTGAACGTGATGATGAAAAACCATATTCCAAGGGACATCGCGAAGGAAATTACAGAAGAGTGCCAGTCTGTTCGTTGATAACAGAAAGATATTCTGTTAGTAAGATGTTCTTGGATGAAGGGGGAGTAGAAGCAGATGTTAATAGACACTATGGTATGATCAGAGCTGCCAAGAGGGCATAGCTGTGTAGCACAACAAGAGTCAGGTATGGAGGTAAAACAGAGATCGAAAAGCGAAGCGTTACCGTCAGGGTTACTGGGTAGGAAAGTCAATCACTCAATGCGTGAGGGATTGAGTGATTGAAAAGTTAAGGATTTGGATGCTAGCGAGGTCAGTTGCAGAGCGTTTAAGAGACATGGTATGGTGGGCGTTAAAGCCCCCGAACACGAATATGTGTGCAACCGGATTTAGAGAGATGGCCTTGTCTATATTATCGGAAATGCTATCAAATACACAACAATCTTGAGAGAAGGGGAACGATAGAGAAAGAAGAGATAGCTTACTGAAATGAGGAGAGATAAACGAAGACATATACGAATGGTCTGGAGATTCCAAAGAAAGTTTCCTAGCCAGATGTCGATGATCGCGGACATAAACTCCCAGGCCATGCATGTAGATTTTAGAGGGGAGGAAGGTAGCCGGGAATCAAGAAAGAGAGGAATAGATTGACGAGTTAAGTTTAGTCTCGCAGAGAGCTAGTATATCAGGAGACTTTTCAAAGATGAACGATTCCACAAGTTGGTACGAATCCCACGGATTTTGGAGAAGGAAATGTTAAAGGGTTTAGATGATTTTTTGAGCTGGTTTAGATTTATATTTTGGGTTGTTTATGGTCATGTTGATTTATGTTGACAAGGAAAATGTCTAATTGCGCAGAATGCAACATAATGTGGCCTCAGGGTTGCTCACCGGAGGTGTGTGCAGGGACATCCTACCATACGCGACATAGCGCTGCAAGAACCCCGATATTATGCAACTGTTGATCAGAACATCCCATCAAGACACTACCCAAGAGTTTGGGTTCATGACTACTATTTAGGGAACAGCAACCAGAAAACTACCAACCCGTAGCCTCAGTATGAAGAGACGTTGCCACAAACTGCACACACCACAAGAGATTCACAACAGTACTACTACTGAGGCCAGAAAAAAGGAAAAGATCCGGGAACTCCTTCCTAAACAGGATGAAATTAAGTAAAATGGGTGTTTAACATTTGAAAAAAAAATAAAAAAATAAAA